AAAATAAAGGCCCCAAAAATTTTCCCTCCCGGGGCCCAAAAGAGGGGCGGCTGGCCCGGCCAAACCCAAAGCAAAAACTCCCCCGGAAAAACCCCCAATTCGGAAAGGTGGCCCCAAAAAAGGGGGGCCGGAAAGCCACCAAAGCTACCCCCGGGAACCCCCCCGGAAGAGGGTTTTCCGGGAATCCCCGGCGCCCGAAAGCAAACTACCCACCCCGGAAACCCAAAAAAAATTGGGAACCCGGGTTCCCAAATTCCCCCCGGGAAACTAGCCCCCGGGGAAGAACCCAAAACCAAAGGGGGAGGAACCCCAAAAGGGAGGGTTGGGGGAAAAAAAGGGAAAAAGGGGGGGGGGAAAAGGGGGGTGGGGGAAAAAAGGAGGGGGAAAAGGGAAAAAAGGGGGGAGGGGATAGGGGGGGGGGAATTGGGGGGAAATTTGGGTTTTCGGCCCTGGGAAAAAAGGACCGATAGGTCTAATTCCCCCAGACCAAGACCCTCTTACCACGCCCAAGGACCCCCCTTGAAAAGGACACCGGGACAAAAATCCCCGCTTCACCATTACTGTCTCCCAGGACGGCACCCCCGCTTCCCTTTGGGGGAGTAAGGTTGTGTTCCTTTCAACCCAAATTAACCCCTTGAAATGTCCAAACATAGATCTCATTCACTGATCCAGAGTTTTTAAAAATTTGAAAAAAAAAAAAAAAAATTTTTTTTTTTAAAAAAAGAGGACATTTTTTAAAATAAATAATGTAAAAAAAAATTCTAGAGTCAATACTTACGGAGATATAAGACCGCAAAGTTTGGGCTTGTCGCCACTTGACAGCAGCATGAAGCAAGCCACTTGCAGAAGTGTTACTGAAGTACCTTTTTTTTTTCTTTTTTTTTAATTTATTTATTTATTTATTTTATTTATTTAGAAATTTAAGCTTACATACAGAGGTACAAAAAAAAAATACAGGTAAGAGCAGCATGCCAAAGCCATTTTTATGCATAGCATTACGGGCTGGCTTAAAATTAACTTAAGATTAACTAAGCAATGATGAAATCAGTGATAAGAACATTATTGTAAACAGATAACTATAAAGCACAAATGAGTATTACAAAGACAGGTCATATGGTTGCTTGCATTGCTGTTCATTCAGTAGAATGGAGTATTCTGTTAGGTAGTGTATTTAAAAAAATAACAAAGTTAGATTGGGTCCTAGGTTTAACATTTATGTGATATAATTGTGAGTAACATTTTGGATATACAATTTATAAGGTTCAGTTATTCAGTATTTTTTTGGGTTTTGAGTGGTAAGTGAACTTTGAGAAGAGACTTGAATTTATAAACAGGTAGTGTTTCTTTTAATTTACAGGTAATGAATTCCAGATTTTAGGGCCTTTTATGTGCATTGATTTTTGCATAGCGTGAGATGGACATGAGGAACATCAAAGATGATCTGGCCTTGTGTTATGGTCATGTGTTCTGTTGAGGTTGGAAAGGGAGATTTTTAAAGGGGGAGGTTAATATGAGTTAATGTTTCTATGTATGTAATAGGTGCAATAATAAGTATGGATGTTTTGTATGGTGAGTAGGTTGAGTGTTTTGAATATGGGGGAGTGTGTTGTCTGTAGTGAAATTTGTTATTCTAACTGCAGCCTTTTGTTGGTAATTAGTGGTCTGAGATGGTTAATTGTTGTTGAGCCCCAGCACAAATTCCATAGGTGAGATAGGGGTAAATAAGAGAGTGATAAAGGGCCCGAGGGCTGACTGGGAACATAGTACCGTATCTTCGATAGTATGCCTACAGTCTTGGAAATTTTCTTAGAAATTTGTTGTACATGTGTATGAAATTTGAGTCTATTATCGAGGTGGATTCCTAAGAATTTTCCCTCTGTTAGCTTTGTGATAGGTGATCCGTTTATCGTTATGTTAAGAGGTACATCTGTAGCTCTGTTACCAAACTGAATGAAGTAGGTTTTGTCAATGTTTAGTGTAAGTTTGTTAGTCCTCATCCAGGTAGATATTTTCAGTAATTCGGTGTTTACAGTATTGGCTAGCGTGACTGGGCTCTGATAATTACAATTTGTAGTAGTTCTTGTGATTTCATAGTTAATCTTTGTTCTGGTACTAATATTAGGTACTGAAATAGTACTCAAATAGTTGCACAGTGACAGGTGGACATTTTTACCTACCTTAGTCACAAACTATTGTCTAGAAATATATACATAGTATTTATAGGTCCCAGCAGTGTTTTGGATATGCGGGAGTATATAATAATAATAATCATAATAATAATAATAATAATAATAATAATAATAATAATAATTTCCCTTGAAGCATGATGTAAGACGTGTGTTACTCCACTGCTGACAGTGCAGCTAATGGTGGCATTTGATAAGCATACACTGCCTTCACTTGATTTGTTTTCACTGTTACAAATAAACATGTCTGAATCTGTCTGTCTGTCTGTCTGTCTAACTCTCTATCTGTCTAGCTCTCTATCTGTCTAGCTCTCTAGCTCTGTCTAGCTCTCTAGCTCTCTGTCTAGCTCTCTATCTATCTGCCTGTCTTTCTGTCTGCTCGTGTGTCTGTCTTTCTCTCTGCTTGTCTCTCTTGTCTCAGAGTTGCTCATGAACCAATTGGTGTTACATACGATCACATCTGCTTCCTGAACAAGTGAAAATGCATATCACTTGACAGTTGCCAGTCATGTTTATTATGCATTATATCTACAAGCACAATATAGCACTTTGTCTGGATTTTTCAGGTTATCCTAGGTAATTTACACTAGTATAATTGTATTTACATATGTGTTTCTGTGAGATAGAGACAGAGATACAGAGAAAGAGATAGACAGAGATAGATACAGACAGAGATAAAGACAGCCAATCAGCCACCGGCCAGCCAGCCACCGGCCAGCCAGCCATCCGCCGGCCAACCAGCCAGCCACCAGCCTGCCGAACAAGTATTACACGTTCCAGAATTGTTTCTTTTTACTTAGGGCATAGGTGTTACAAAAAACACTAGAAAGGACTGCCCTTCTTGCATTCAGCCTGTTACTGGGTTTTTGTAACAATTAGTCAGTATCCTTGTCCAATTATCCATTAGAATTCAGTATGATTCAATAGTGCTTCAGGATTACAACTGGTAGGCTACTAACTAGAGAAATTAAAATTTAATAAATTTATTAATAATTAAGTTGTCTAGGCATATATCAAATTAAATTAAATTAATCACAGTAATCAAAATAATATTAATCANTCTTCTCTCGTGTACAGTATTATTGTGCTGAAAGCACATTTCACATATATAAGTCTTAAGTACCGTCTGGTACATTAACATTTAATAAGATATTACAAATATGTACAAGTAAGTTTGTGTATATGTGTGTAAGTGCTCTAAGTAGTTCACTATGTCTCACGACTCAACTAGACTTAAACAAGTGACTGACAAAGTCCTCTCATAAACTAACTTCTTGACCAACTGGCAATCAGAACAGTCTGCTTGAACAATAAAAAGAATGCTAAGCCCAATAGCAATATAACAAGCAACTGCAACACCATCAGGATCAAGGAAATAATGTAACGACGCTAAGTAGGGACCATCAGCAGATCCTCCACAAAAGTCACAAAACTCCCATACTACTGAATCTAAGTTCAGCATAAGAAAATCCCCGACTGTGACAATACACAGATACCAGTACAAATTAGGTCAGAAGCTACAGCTCAGGACCTGAGTTGCTCAGAGCGTCTGTGACACAACCTCAGTACAACGTTGAAAATCACTAAGTCTCGACAATGTTCTGTGAACAGAGTTCTACAGAACCTACAACAATAATGAGACAAGAGACGATCTTCCAACAAGGGCCAATAAGGGAGATTTAGGCTCGTCTTGTCAAGAATACGTCCAACCACCAAGAGAGTCTAGACCAGACTGAATACTTCAGGCGAGGTGTGATCACCCCTCCCCCCCTCGATCACGTGATAGCTCCGTGGACAGCTGCTGCCCAGCAACAGAAGCCGGCAGAGTAACGAGCAAAGAGCGATAATTACAGTAGTTAGACAATCAAGACTTGAACTATGAGCACATAATAATATGTTACATCCTACCTAACAAAAGTAACCAAGACAAATAATAATATAAAGCAATATATTCACGATTTAGTTATTATCGCAAATATAAGCAATATAAAATTATATGAAAAGGTAATATACATTATATACATATACATCATATACATTGTAACCCATTCAGGGGTTGCAACATAGGTTATAGGACATTCTTGCAGGATGACACTACCAGTGGTACCAAAATTGAAAAGGTGTTGCACATGGGTTATTATCGAGGTTTTTGATATTTCCACGACCACTTGTGGCCACATCCACCTCAAAGCCACTAAACTCGGGGTCAGCATCACTTTCCTCTTAAAAGGGGAATGTTAATGCAACATAACATCAGTGAATCCTTGGTGTTTGCCGCGCTGTTTGCTCTAGCTGGCGCACAGTTGAACTGGTGCTCTCACAAGGTACTAAGTGGTCCCATATTTTTTTAATACTGCACACACCGAGGGCTAAGACCCTTTTTATGCTGACCAGGCATCTCAGGCCAATCGTGCCAAATTTGAAGGCATGAAAAATAAAATGTAGATCTATGTTTGGAGCACTACCAGTAAGAATGTAGATGTACGTTTGGACAGTTCAGGGGTTGTATATATGATGGTAGAATTACCAACAATATGTAAAGTAAAAGGACACAAGTGCAACTAATGCGACATTTTATTGTGGCAACGTTTCGCTCTCCAGGAGCTTTGTCAAGCCGTTACAAGCCGTAACGGCTTGACAAAGCTCCTGGAGAGCAAAACGTTGCCACAAAAAAATGTCACATTAGTTGCACTTGTGTCCTTTTACTTTACATAGTTAAGGTGTTAATTGTACCACAATGAAAAATTGAAACTTGCATTATGACTTAACCAATACTGTGTAATAAGATGACCACTCAGATTCAGTTTCTTCCAGGGTGAGGTGCTTTTCAATGCATGGAGTGAGGCATTCTTGGGCTTGGGCGGAGTCTTCGTACAAAAACCTCGCATCTTCAGCTTTGATGGCAAAGAGGTCTTGAGTGATCCAGCATGGTATGTACATCATTAGATTAGATTAGATTAGATTAGATTTTTTATTTTGACAAATTACATAGTTGTACAGAGGAATATAATAGTTGGGTGTATATGCCAAAAGCCCCTCTGTATGCAGAGCATTTCAGGCAAAGTTAAAGATTAACTTAAGAATAGTAAGGCAATAATACATAGTTCATATGGTCATTAGATGAGTTAGAGTGAGTACAGGAGAATTTAATATTATATCAGGTGATGCTACATGGGTTTGATAAGTCTAGTAGAGACTTTTTACACTATTGTATTAGTTAATAAGATTACAGTATTACAGTGTAACAATTTAAAACAATTTACAGTGTGTTGTATTACAGTTTAGTACTATTTAAAACGATGAAATTTGTCACGTGTGATCAAAGTGTCACCCATGTATTTTTTTTTTTTCAACACATCGGCTCTCTAACCAAGGCAGGGTGACCCAAAAAAAGAAACACTTTCACCATCACTCAGACAATATCACTGTTTTTGCAAAGGCACCCACACATGACAATTTAGTTGTCAGTACAAACAGCCGATATCCTAAACCCCTCCTTTAAAGTGAAGGCATTGTGCTTTCCACCTCCAGGACTTAAGTCCAGCTTAACCAGTTTCCCTGAAACCCTTTACAAAATATTACCCTGCTTACACTCCAACAACTCATAAGGTCCCAAAAACCATTCATCTCCATTTACCCCTCTCTAACATGCTCTTGCATACCTGCTGCATGTCCATGTCCCTTGCATACAAAACCTCTTTTACCCCCCTTCCTTCATCCTTTCCTAGGATGACCCCTACCCCCCCCATCCCCTCCATTACAGATTTATACACTCTCCAAGTTAACCTATTTTGCTCCATCCTCTCTAAATGACCGAATCACCTTAATAACCCCATTTCAGCTCTCTGAACAATATTTATAGTAACTCTACACCTCCTCCTAATTTCCACACTACGAATACTCTGCATAATATTTACACTACACATTGCCCCCAGACACAACATCTCCACTGCCTCCAGCTCCTCTTTGCTGCAGCATTCATAACCCATGCTTCACACACATATAAGAGTGCTGGTACCACTGTACTCTCGTACATTCCCTTCTTTGCCTCCATGAATAAACATTTTTGTCTCCACAGATACCATTCACATTTTTTCCTTCATCAATTCAGTGATTAACCTCATCCTTCATAAGCCCATCTACTGAGAAATCTACTCCCAAATATCTGAATACATTCAATTCCATACTCCTTCCTTCCAATCTGATATCTAATTCTTCTTTACCTAATTCATTGGATACCCTCATCACCTTACTCTTATCTAAGTTCACTTTCAACTTTCTTTACACACCTTTGCAAACTTGTCCACTAACCTTTGCAACTTCTCTTTAGAATCTTTCAAATGCACAGTATCATCAGCAAAAAATAACTGTGTCAACTCCAATTTTTGTATTTTATTTATTTATTTATTTTTTATTTGGACATGATACATAGTTGTGCAAAGAAATATAGTGATTGGGTGTACATGCCAAAAGCCCCTTGTATGCAGAGCATTATGGGCAGGCTTAAAATTAACTTAAGATTAACTAAGCAATGATATATTCAGTGGTAAAAATTAAAGTAAACAAATTACAACATGAAGTACAAATGAATATTTCAAATAAGAAGCATTAAAGTTGTACAAATTTGTAGCACAACAATGTATAAATAATCAAATCAGATCGAGTAAAATCACCTCTCTCCCCAACACCCTAGTGTTAATTTCTTTTACAACTCCATCTATAACTATGTTAAACAACCATGGTGATATTACACATCTCTGTCTAAGGCCTACTTTTACTGGAAAGTAATCTTCCTCTCTCCTACACACCCTAACCTGAGCCTCACTATCCTCATAAAAACTCTTTACAGCATTTAGTAACTTACCACCTATTCCATACACTTGCAACATCTACCACATTGCTCCCCTATCATATGCCTTTTCTAAATCCATAAATGCAATGAAAATTTGCCTTCTTTCACCAAACTGGCCGTATCCCACTGAAGCAGGATGGCCCAAAAAGGAAAATAAAAGTTTGTCTTTTTAACTTTAGTAATATATACAAGAGAAGGGATCACTATCCCCTTGCTCCTGGCATGTTAGTAGCCTCTTACGACACACATGAAAACTTCCCTACCTTTATCTAAATATTTTTCGCTTATATGCTTCAATGTAAACACTTGATCTATACATCCCCTACCCATTGTAAAGTCTCCTCGTTCATCTGTAATCCTACTTTCTGTCTTCTAATTCTTTCAAAAATAACTACCATACACTTTACCTGGTATACTCAATAAACTTATTTCCTTATAGTTTTTACAATCTTTTTTGTTCCCCTTCCCTTTTTATAAAGGAATTATATACACACTGCCAATCTCTGGGTACCTTCTCCTCTTTCATACATTTATTGAACAAAAGTACCAATCACTACAAAACTATATCCCCCCTTTCCCTGCTTTTTACATTTCTGTCATGATCCCGTCAGTTCCATCTGCTTTACCCTTTTTTATTCTACCTAATGTGTTGCGCACCTCCCCACACACATCCGGCTCTTCTTCCCTCCTAAAAGATGTTTTACCTCCCTGGCCAATGCATGAAATTACTGTCTCCCTCTCTTCATCATTTAACAGTTCCTCAAAATATTCCTGCCATCTTCTCCATACCTTCAACTCCCCATCTACTAACTCCCCTATTCTGTTTTTAACTATCAAATCCATTCATTCCCTAGGCTTTCTTAACCTATTTATCTCACTCCAAAATTTTTTCTTATTCTTCTCAGCAAAATTTGTTGACAGCACCTCACCCATTCTATCATTTGCTCTCCTTGAGAACTCCCTCACCACTCTCTTCACCTCTCTTTTACTCTCCATATACTCCACCCTTCTTATATCACTTCAACTCTGTAAAAATCTCTCATAAGCAACCTTTTTCTCTTTTTTTTATCACACTCTTTACCTCATCATTCCACCAATCACTCCTCTTTCCTCTTGCACCCACCCTCCTATAGCCACAAACTTCTGCTATGCATTCTAATGCTGCCTTTTTAAAACTATCCCACCCCCTCTTGAACCCCCCACACTACCTATACTCTCATTAGCCCACCTTTCTCCCACTAGTTGCTTATATCTCACCCTAACTTCCTCCTCCCTTTGTTTATAAACTCTCACCTCACTCTTACTTGCTGTTGCTGTTATTCTTTTGCTCCATCTACCTCTTACTCTAACTGTAGCGACAGCTAAATAGTGATCCAATATGGTTTAGAAAATCACGTAGGCAAACACTATGATCCAGTATATTTATTGCCTTACACAAATAACCGGCATGTAGAAGAGAGGAGCTTACAATGACATTTTGGTCTGACTTGGACCATTTACAAAGACACTTTGTAAATGTGACTTTGTCAATGGTCCAAGTCAGACCGAAACGTCGTCGTAAGCTCCTCTCTTCTATGTGTGGGTTATTTGTGTATCGTTCCAGTCACAGTTTTGTGCCTTTTTTTTGTTATTTATCTGTTGCCTTTCTGTAAACATGCACATCCTGAAGTCTACCCATCAACCTTTTATCCACCAATACATAATCTAACAAACCACTGTCATTATGTGCTATATCATATCTTGTATACTTATTTATCCTCATTTTCTTAAAATATGTATTACTTATTACCAAACCTCTTTCTGTACATAGTTCAATTAAAGGTCCCCATTTTCATTTTTCCCTGGCACCCCAAACTTACCTAGTACTCCCTCCCCAACAGTTTTACCCATTTTTAGCATTTAGGCCCTCCACCACAGGTACTCTCTCACTTGGTTCAGAACTCCCCACTTCTCTCTTCTCCAGGTGCATAAACAATTATTATAACCCACTTTTCACATCCCACCCTTATTTTACTCCACATAATCCTTAAATTTATACATTTATATTCCCTATTTTCCTGCCATAACTGATCCTTCAACATTATTGCTACTCCTTCCTTAGCTCTAACTCTGTTAGAAACCCCTGACCTAATCCCATTTATTTCTCTCCACTGAAACTCTCCTACCCCCTTCAGTTTTGTTTCACTCCAAGCCAGGACATCCAGCTTCTTTTCATTCATAACATCCACAATCATCTCACTCTTATCATCCATGATACATCCACGCACATTCAAACATCCCAACTTGAAGGTTTTCTTCTTTTTATTTTTAGTAAGCTGCACAGGTAAAGGGGTTACTAGTCCATTGCTCCCAGCATTTTAGTTGGCTTTTACAACATGCATAGCTTATGGAGGAAAAATTCTTATTCCACTTCCTCATGGATATAAAAGGACAATAATAAGAACAAGAACTTTTAAGGAAATATAAGGTGAGTGTGTAGAGTGTGTATACATAAATTTGTACATGTATGTGTTAGTAAAAATAACAAAATATACCTGTGATCTTGTGTGTTTATGACACAGAAAAAAGACATCAGCATTTGTACCGTCATGTAAAACAAATACAGGTTTCTATCTTGCACTCACTTGGCAGGACAGTAGTACCTCTCTGGGTGGTTGCTGTCTACCAACCTACTACTGCATATTAAAACAAAAAACACCAAGTTGCAGAATAAGCTTTCATCAGGGCTGAGTTTGCTGTTCTGTTGGTTTATACTTACACAGCAAAATACTTGTTTCAGTAAAAGCAATCTATTATTAACAACATTTGGCCCACATGTGTGCATTTATCACATAAGCTGGATCACATTATACTGCATGCATTTTTTCTCTATGCTGGTACAGTTGAGCCTCAGTTCAGCCTCTCCTCACTTAACAATGTAGTTCCTTTCCTAAGACCATGTATAGTTGAACAAATTCGTTACTAAGTGAAGAGCATACTCTAATGGTAGTGGGTTTGTGTCGCCCATCTTTAATATTGTTTTAATATCACCTTTGCACCATTTACAACATTTCTGGTATATTTTTAAATGTTTATACA